ACATAATTACTTTAACCTGATTTAGCCCCACTCTCTAGAAAAAGAAAAAAAAAACCCACAAAAAACCCACATACTTTTCAGAAACGCATGAGCAGTGTTGAGTCTTTGCAAAAGGTATCAAAGGGCTCTTTGATGAGGACCATTGTGCTGCACGAAACCAAGAAACGTGCATGTACCTGCCCCGGGGAAGCTGCCCTCAGACCTGCCCCCACACTATGGCACCCTTACAATTTCTGGTAACTTTTAGAATTGATGATACTCATGCAATTACATTCTTCAGTTGCAGGACTGAAAATAATGTTTCACGTGTAAAGAGTTGGAGGAGAGTGGAAAAGTGCTACTTAAGACTATTTAAAGGCTGAGTTTCAAATTAAATTAATTTCATAATTAATTAATTATGAAGAGGTTTATGATTTAAAATATGAGATTTTGAAATTGTGAAATGATAAATATAGAAAAAATAGCACTTACAATACTTGAGTCATGTAGACAGTGGTAGATACAGGTATTTTACCAAATGCAGACTTATTGAGGCTACTCCATTTTCCAGCAGTAGCACCATGATGTCTTGTCCTCCTGGCTGAGCAGTTGCATATGAAAACTTCTTTACTGACATAAGGTGTTGGAGTCCTACTGTCCGTTAAACCTTTCACTGCTTATTACTGTATCAAAATAATAAAAAATATTTCACCATTTGGTTTTTATTTCTTGTGGGTCTTGGCTGCTTCTACATTCTGTTGGATTCTGGAGGGCTGCTCTTACCCTGTTTTGATGATTTATCCAAGTGTGAAAAAAGCAATGACAATCCTCCATTGAGGGTTGATCTCCACTTAATGAATGTTACAGCGTGGAATACATCTTGTCACAGGGAGCTTGTCCAGAGTCCATTTCTCTTTCAAGCTACAGTTTCTGGAGTTGCTTATGTGGAGAAGTGCTACTATGAAACTATTTTATGTACTTTTATACTTCTAGTTTTCTAAAATGCAATTTGGCAGATGAAAAGGCTTGGCCAGGAGCTCATGCCACATTAGTTTTCCAGGAATGATCAGTTTGTGCTTTGAAGATGACAGGGTAGTTCCTGTTAGTGAAGAATTTGGAAGATACTTTGAAGGCATGACCAAAGTATTAGGCCATTTTCTTCCTTTTTTTAAAGAAAGTTTCACTTGCAATTAGCTTATTAACAGAAAAGGTACTTATCCTTACCTGAAACTCCGGCTGCAGATGTCGCCTCTACTGGGAAGGATCCTGTGATGGACGACGTAGTTAGCATCATTGGACATGTCTGTCTAGGGAGGAGACATCTAAAGTAGGCACAGAGCAATATAATCCTGTGCAATACACTCAAAGAGCAACTACATGGAAGGAGTAAATGACCCATAAGGTGTCTTACTGCTCCACTTAGTATATCTCAGGTATCTTAGGTATCTTACTGTTTTGTTGGGTTTTTTTAAAGTTTTTTATGATTTCACTTTCTGCACTTGTCTATGTAAGTTACTCGCTCTGAATATGACTTTAAATACCAGGTTCTTTCTTCTATGTGATATATCATTTTTCAAATTATTTTAGTATGTCATATCAAAAGGAAAAATTTAATTTTCTGTAACAAAAAATGGGAATCATAATATTTTGCTTTTAATTTAATGATAGCAATATTCCTTTTTAAAATATCATAAGTTATATGTTATAGTTAATGTGAAGTAAATAATATAAATAGTTAATAAAGTCATATTTTTATACGGCAAAGTGAAATTTAAGATTCCATAATATATACAAGGCATACTAATTTTTAATGAAAATATTTTGCTGTGGCACTTGTGTAACTTAAAAAGTCAAACAATGTGTATTATGCAGTTCTTGGTTCTGCACTTTAATACAGCGTAACCATTTCTCTCATGAGATACTAAATAAAATGAAAGAGTATACAGTCATTAAATGTAGGGGCCATTCCTTTCTGAATGGAAGCAGTGGAATTAATTGATTAAAGTATATTGCATCTCAGTTCAAGAAAAAAATACATTACTTAATTACATTGTAAGTGGCTTTCCCTATTTTATCTTGATTATGTAAGGTGCATGCATACAGAGAATTACTGACGTGATCAATTATGTTTTATTCCTGAGTATCAGCAGTGTTTTCAAATATAGTCCAGTAAGAGAAAGAAATGTTTGCTGGCCAGCAATTGCATTGTGAAATACAAAGAGAGAAAAAAATGCACACCCGTGCATTTCTTTATACTAAGTTTTGCAAATTCAATTAAAATTTGCATTTTTTTCTTTTTCTAAAAACATCATTCTAACAGCAGCAATGAGTTTTTGATGTTCCTATCTTAAACTTATTTGCACTGACAGTGTTGAGTGCTTTTCTCCTGTGAGCCGTTTTCTACAGTGACTGTCCTTGACCAAACCAGAAAATGAATTTGATTTCTCTAATGCAAAAGGTAATTGGATTTCTCTTTATGGAATGCATCCCTTTAATGACTGTCTCTGCTTCAGCCAATTTAGCTGCAACCGACCTGACATTGATCTGGTGATATGACTTTAAATAAATGCCAAAGCTGGGAGATGAAAGACCAACTGTCTGATATCGGAAAGAACATCTCCTGCCTTGTCTTGCCATTTTCCTCAGAAAATGTCTTCTTCTTGAATGTCATTCTTATGAAACATACTACTCTAATAATTGGTCATAGAGCAGCAGATTGCATCCTTCTACCAAATATAATAAGTATTTTCCAGGAAGTGTCTGGAGAAAATATTTTGAAAATTTAGTAAAACCTCTCGGAATATCTGTTCTTCCTTGCTGTCGTGGTTTCAATTGGGGTAGAGTTAACTTTTTTATTAACACCTGATGTAGTGCTATGTTTTGGATTTGGGATGAGGAATTCTTTTGACAGCACACTGGTTTTTTTAGTTGTTGCTAAGCTCTCAAAGCCTTTTCTGCTCCTCACACCGCCCCACCAGTGAGCAGGCTGGGAGGGCACAAGAAGTGGGGAGGGGACACAGCCAGGACAGCTGACCCTGACTCACCAAAGGTCTATTCCATACCATGTGATGTCATGCTCACCATATAAAGCTGGGGAAGAAGAAGGAAGGGGATGGGAATGGGATGGGATGGGATGGGATGGGACGGGACGGGACGGGATGGGATATTTGGAGTTATGGTATTTGTCTTCCCAAGTAACTGTTTTGTGTGATGGATCCCTGCTTTCCTGGAGGTGGCTTAACACCTGCTTGCTCATGGGGAAGCAGTGAATGAATTCCTTGTTTTGCTTTCCTTGCATGAGCAGCTTTTGCTTTACCTATTAAACAGTCTTTATCTCAACCTACGATTTTTTTCTCTTTTACTCTTCTGATTCTCTTCCCTATCCAAAGTAGGGGGAGTGAGTGAGTGGCTGCGTGGTTCTGGCTGCTGGCTGACGTTAAACCATGACACTTGCAAATACTCATTACCATGTAGACTCTTTCTAAGAGAAAAAGGTGTTAATGACATAGTGGATTAAATCTTTACAGAGATGTTGTTCAGCACTAAATATTTATCAAAATATTTAGACAATTGAGATCTTATAAAAAAGTATCACAGCATGCTGATCTGAGAAGAGATTTACCTACATAGAACAATTATTAAAGATGGTATTTTGGGGTATAATCTGTTCTTTCTTCAGGCTACTCTTAATGGAATCATAAAATCCTATAATGTGTTTTTCTGTTTATTTAACATAATCATTATCCTTTGCACCCAGCCCTTCAGGCTAATATGCTGATCACTTTTAACCCCAAATGGACTTAGAACCAAAATTTAGAAGTTGAATGTAGTTTGTATGTAGTTTTAATTTAATCATGGGCCATGTGTTCTTTTTGATAAACACCGTTAATGCCATTGACTGAAAGTGGTAGCTCACACTCTGGATGGTAAACTAGATTTTTAAAACCCTGTATATCAAAATAAATACAGTGCAAATTAAAAATAAGAAATCTTGATTTCAGTTTGAAGTTATTTCCTTCAAAAATCTTAAGAGTTATTTTCAGATGAATCAAAACAATTCGTAATTTTCTAATGTGTACTGATACCAATGACAGATAGTACGAAATTATTTTACTTTTCTGTATTTTGAAGTAGGTGCTGACACCTATTTCCTTTATCTGTTCAATTATTTCTTAAGCTTTAGTTATGGGTAGGTTTTCCATTCTTCTGTATCTTTTGCGGAACAGAATTTATGAATTTACTGTAATGTAACTTTCTGTGCTTTTTAGTACAGTTAATGTGAAGTAAATAGATATGAAAACACAGCTTCCCAAAGGTGGAAGTGCCTGAGGGGTATTCACCTCCCTCATTTAGCTGAAAGTAATTTATAATACTTTTGTGTACCACCCAGAAGTAGTGCACGCATATGAGTCTCTGGACAGAGAAACAGATGGTCTCTTTAGATGGGAATTATGAAAATGAGAATAAATATTTCATACTTTTTAAATTTTGTGCAAGTTTTAAGGGATTTTTGTGTCTGTGGTCCCAAGTGTGCTTTTCTTACTGATACCAGGAAGCGAGAGGAGATTATAAATGGCATATAGTGCTTAATTCATAGGCTTGCACTCCCTGGCTGCAGTTCTGATTTCAAGAGTGGAAATTCTGCTGATGCTGCTCTCAGGGAAGAGAGTCTCCTCTCCCAGGATGGACTGGAAAGCTTTGTAGCCATGGGGGAACGTAGCTTATGCACTCTAGGTTGCTGTAACTTTTAGACTAGTTCCTCTTCTTATCTTTGGGTCTCCACAGGTTTCCTTGTTTCTCAAGGAGTTATGTGCACTTGTAGGGACAGAATATATAGGCCGATAGACTTTATCTTGATTGCAAGTAACACTAGAGACACTATTTTTCTACTGCCTAACTATCAAAATTATCAGAACTGAAGCAGGTGTGTCATACATAAAAGAAAGTGTTCATAAAGTCCGTGTTAGTACTTTCTTTTGTGACAGCAGTTTAACGGTGTATTATTTCTTCTTTCCCTGTAGGTCACTGATATGATGCTTCAGGACAAACCCTACCCAGACTGGGGAAAGTCTGCCAGAGCTTTCTGGAAGAAAGGAAACATTAGGATCATTTTATTCTGGTAGGAAAATAGTAAAATCAAATTATTTTTAAGCAACCTTTTATAGAACATCCAAAAACATGTCTTCTAATTGTCTGAGGCAGGAAGAGATATAAACAGAATATAGGGTTGGAAAAAAACGAAACTTGGTGTCACAAAAAATTAAACATTACAAAAGCTGTACATGAGTGAACAATTCCTAATGAAAATAGTTGATTTTAAAATATAATTTTAAAATTGATTTATACTGTTTCTTTTATTATATCTTTGATCCTGCTTATAACTGAGTTGCAAAATTTTTGCTATATGTAATAATATTTAGCTGTCCCGTTATCAGTCCTTGTAATTAAGATAAGTGGATATGTTAGTGTCCTGTTGTGACCTTGAAATTAATTACAGTACTTCTTCAAATTAGCACATGAATGGGTTTTCAGATGGCGAGTCAGCCTCAGATTATTAAGAAAAATATGTAAAAATCAATGGGAAAAATTACAAGAGGTAAGTGTTTATCTGACCCCAAACATAGCCTCTTGCAGGTAAACTGTAACTGTTTAAACAGAAAACAAATTGTGACAGGAAAAATGGAAGATGGAAAATGTATAGTCTAAGAGGCAGACTGAAGACCTTACAGATGAAGATGAAAGAAGCTAAGTATTTTTTCAAGTACATCAGAAGCAGAAACCTCATGAAAATACCAGTAGACCTGCAGTTTTTTAAGGAGTAGATTTAGAGGAATTGTTGCAGAGAAGTTGAAAGATTTATTTACGTGGATTCTGCTACAGAAAAAGCAATGAAATGTCTATACTTTTAAAGTAGTAAAAATGATACATTATGCTAAAGTGAGACCATTAAAGTAAATAATAAAAGAAATTTAAAGACTAAAAAGAAAGCAGAATCAGATGGGTGATTGGCTACAGATAAGGTTTATAAGGAATTGAAGGAGCTGAGCTGATGCAAATTTTATTAGCCCTTAATTGCCTATTGAAAAACTGAATGTTAAAATTAGGCTATTGTTTTAATTTTGTTGCTTTGTTTCCAACAAACTAGAATTACCCTACTGGCCTGTATGTCTGAGTTCAGTATTAGCTAAATGGATTGAATGCATCATCAATAATAGAATTATGAGCAAAACTCTAGATTAAATTTTGCTAAAAGAAGCCAGGGCAGCTTTGCTAAAAGAAAACCTTCTCTGATCTGTTAGAACTCTTTGAACATGTCATCAAAATAATGGATGAGGAGGAAATGCTTGATCTAATTTATTTGGACTTTCAAAAGGCTTTTGGCAAAGTTCTTTACTGAAGGCAATTAAGAAAACTAGTAAGCCCCATGGAGTGTGCTGAACATTTAGGAATCATCTCAGAAATGTTCAAAAGAAAGGTATAAATAAAATAATAATTTTCTGCTACATTGATAAGGCAGAGGAGTCCCGTTATTTAATGTGAGAAGTAGTATTCATTATTTGTATACACCATATATATTAGTGACATGACAGAATTTAAAGATGAAGTGAATAATTTCACAAATGTTAGCATGGAAGAGGGATCTTAGAAAGCTAGATGAAAAAAATAACATGATTGAAAAGGTTGAGTTTTGGAGTGGAGTGGGTGGACGCTTAAACAGCTCGTTGTCATCATTGTGGGATGTGCAGAGGAAGATTCTGTCTCAGTGTGCTGGGGTGGGCAAAAACGTAAAGCAGATGAATTAAAAAATGCTTAAATTGGTAGCAAGTGGACTAGCAATGATTACAATGTCATTTGGGTAACTCAGCGAAAAGCTTAGTCTAGAACATCATTGATTTTTTTGCCCTTGTCTGAAGAATAGCCTTGTCTGAAAGACTGGAGAGGAGATTAATTAAGAGTCAAGAAAAAACTTAATTACACAAAAAGACTGGAAGAATGGAAAAAAGGGTTAAAAGCAAGGTGACATGACGGAGATCTCAATTTTATGTGCCGGACAGGGAGAACAATACAACACTATTAAAAGTACTTAAATGTCTTTGTGAGAGGAGTTTTGACTTCTCGCAGTCTGAAATGTTATAAATTCATATTTTCTTTCAAATAATATTTGCATTAACAAATCCTACTAAAATTTTAAAATGGAGATAAAGTAATAAATGATGGTTCTTTTCATGCATGATTCTCATACTAAAGAATAGCCTTAATGGGGATTTCAAAACCTAAAGGGTGACATAAATGCTTTTATTTTTAGCTTTAAGCAGTGAAATAAAATATCCCTGGGCAACAGTCTCCATTCTGTAGAGACATTATTTAGATAGTGCACGTTAGACATCGGTAAAAGTAGACTCTTTTTTTCCCTGATAAGTAGGAAAAATAGAGGGGGAAGTTAAAGTATTGATAATTTTATGTATGACAATGTGGGTTAGTTGTATTTCATTTCTTGTTGCTTAAGCAGTGTGATGTGAGCAGCCTCATTTCTGAAATGTCCTAAATGAATCATCCTCAATAGTATGTCCTACACAGATACTGGTATGCCAAAATCCATTTATTCAGGACATTTCCTAGTGGCATACCTGTTTCGCAGAGATAGTGTAATACAGTGCACTATATTTTAATTATTCCAAATACTAGATATGTGATGCAGAGTTTAAAATGGTTGATGAAACAAAAATTTTAGAAACACACTGGACTTGTTTTTCTATTACCATCATTTTTATTTTCAGGTTTACTTTGTAAAATAAGAAAACATCTATAAATGTACCAAAGACAGATGGATTGTCATGGGGATGAAGGCACCATCCACTTGTTCATAACAGTTGATCATGTGACCGCTTTGTGTTTCTCACTTGGAAATGTTTTCAGCTCTCCAATGCAACTAATTAGGAAAGGTTTTGATTTAGCTTATCATCTCCTGTTTTAAATCGTTCCCTGGAAGCATTGTCAACAACTGGTTGTTGGTTGCTCCTGAGGATTCTGGCTGCCTTTCGAATGTCTTCACAAGATAATACTTCCACAAACAGCTCAGCTAGCTCAAAAATGACCATTTGCAATTTATTTTTGTCTAGCCCATGACTTAGGAGTTCATTGAAGTGCTTTCTACTGTTTTTTATGGTGGTAGGTTGGGGTTCTTTTGATAGAAAGGTCTCCATTTTGGTCATTTGCAGCTCTGCTAAATGGCTACATCCACCATCCTGAGGCCCCTTTGTATGACACTGTTACAGTCTGTGTTGTATTGCGTAGGGATACAATGCAAATACAAGCACGCTTTCTTACAGAATTAAGAAAGCATATCGTCTAGATGGCTTTTAGAAAGCAATGACGTATCTGGAACCCCGGTGGAATTACTGGGATGGTGCAGACGTGTTTGTAGATTACAGAAGAAAGATACCCACAGGGATTTAAATGTCTGCACCATCTGGCAGTCGGATGAGGCTGTGGTAGAGGGACAACCATCTCCAGTGCTCTGTGGTTACTGTCACTATTATGAAGTTACAAGCGTGAATGGAAATAGAGTAATTTATATTTTTGGCTGTGTTGATAATTTGGCTGTTTTAGGAGAGACAAATTATATATGACATGAGAGGATTGGCATTCAAAAGAAGCAACAAGAAAGAAAAGGTTGTTAAATTAAGCCAAATAAAGATCTTGGGCAAGACTGACAACAAGCCAATAGCAGTAGCTAGTGATAAGTTAAATAAATAGGACAGTATAGAACAGTAGTTATTTTTAATATCGTATATTAGAGGAAGCAGAGAGAGAAGTACAATGTGAGAAGACTGGTTATTTTGCAAATAGCTTTTTCTTCCCCTGGAACACTGAGTAAGTCCAACCTATTATAAATATAAGGATTTTTTTATAAGGAAACCACTTGTTAAGACAGAAAAAAAAGACGAATAAATGCATTAAAAATGAACTACAAGTGGAAGAGAATAATGTTAAGACAATTCATGAAAAATGACTTAAAACAAATTTAGTAAATGGTTATGGGATTTCTGTTTTTATGGTATTTATAGTATTTTTCCAAGTGAACAAACCTGTGCAATATTGAGCTTTCTAGATGGTACCTCGAGGTTTGCTGAGAGCATTATGCTCTTACACATCTGCGCAGGAGCGGGCTCGCACAAGCAGTACGTACAGGTGGCACTGCAAAAGGAACTGCATACTACACAGTATATGCTCGGGTTATGTATTCGTCGCCCATATTAACATACAGGTCTCTGCCACCAAGGCCTGTGGTTAACCTCTGCCCACTTTGTGCCTGAAATGACTATTTCCTCATTATAATGTCTTCCACAGTGGCCCACCTCATCCTGTGAAGAATCAAGCGTAATAGTTAGAATAAAATCACCAGGACATGTCTGGGCTGTGCATGTGGTTTGGTTAATAGAGGCAAGACCCAAATACTCTGTCTTGACTAACTGTTCCAATAATAATTGTCCTAAAAACTTTCCTAATGGGGGGAGGGGGGGATTATAATGAGCAAGACATAAAGATTTCTTCATGTGAACTTTTAGCAATAGGGAAAAAGAGAACACCAAGAAAAAGAAACGAGATCACTGGAAGAGAGGAAAATGGCCGCTGAGGTCTGTGTAACTAGGGAAGAGAAAATTGGTATTCAAAGGTAGATTATCAAAATGGGGATGTTTAGAGATAACACTGGGTTGTGCAGCTGAATATTGATTGCAGGCAGGGGGACAGAATAATATATACAAGCTGAACGTTTGAATATGCAAGTAGCAGACTGGAATCCATTTCCGTGCTGTCCCTGGCTAGACATTCATTGTACGTGTACACAATGATCAGTCTTCATTGGCACAATAATGTGTCTTTGACATGGGACTCTTGTCTGAAATAATACAAAGCACATACCAACATGGAGAAGAAGTAAAGTAATATGAAGAATCGTAAATTTGTGATTCCCTATGTTTGCTGTGTTTGACTTTGCAAACTAAATAATCTTTTAGTATGTATTTCCATAAGTTCTCTTTAGCTTGCTTTAATAAAGCAAACTACACATGCTCAGAAATGTATGTTAGTAATCACAGTAGTTGGAGTCAGCGAGTT